AAATACACAAGTTCGTACATGCTAATTATGCTTAATCAAAGAAACAAAATATAAATAAACAAAATGAATTGTATGACAAATCCTCCTAAGTGTTTATGAAGTCTTTATATCCGAGACTGGCACAATAGTAGTGGTTTCCTCGGGCGGATCCTTACTGGAATGAGTCGTCTTGCTTGCCCCAACCATGTTGATCTGAGCTACATCAAGAAGAAGACCTTTCAACGGACGAGTTGTCAACAGAGCTAACAGCCCCATGGTTAGGCAGAAGGTTGCTTTTGACATTGGGCTATGGATCATTGAAAGACAAAATCTTCTTTTCCATCAGCTATCTGACAATATCCTTCAGAGCATAGGAATCTTCCAAATCATGTCCGGGCGCCCCCTCATGAAATAAACAATGAGCGGCGGCGTTGTAATTGGCAGACAAAGGATTACGAGGCGGACCCATTGCTCGTGTAATGATCAAACCTTGTTGCACTAAATAAGGATACAACTCGGTGAACGTCATCGGAATCGACGGACAAGGCTTGTATTGTCTTCAAATCGAAGTATTTTGGCGAGGTGCCTGATTCCTTGGTTGTTGATTTGCCGGAGCATTGGATGCTTGTTGATAGTTAGGCGGAGGTTGTTGGTAAATCGGAGGCGGATAAACAGGAGCCTGCTGCATAGGCTGGTAAACAGGAGCTTGTGGAGCTTGCTGATTAAAAGATGGTGCAACAGCAGCTACATATGGAGGCGGAGCATACTGAACCGGGTAACAAGAAGATTTGGATACAAGAAGGGATATACCCATTTGATGAAGATCATTTTATACCTATTTGAACAAGTAGAGTTGTCAACCAACTTAAATTCATCTATACCTATTTGCATAATTTATTTTCAACATGTTTGGCCTCAAAATTTGATTTCATAAGGCAACATAATTGAATCACAAGACAACATAATTTAATCCTAGGCAACATAATTTAATCATAAGCACAATTAAGTCATAACTCACAAGGTAAAATGATTGAATAATTTCATAAGCATATCAAACAGAATTGGCCTCAGATCAAACAGAATTCATCATAGGCACAATTTCATCACAACTCACAACATGGCAACAAAATTCATCATAGGCACAATTTTATCACAACTTACAACAAGGCAACCAAGTTCATCAAAGGCAACATATGAACAATTGATCAAACCGAATTCACAAGCAGCTCAGACAGAAGTGGCCTCAAATACTATTTCACGGGCAACATAATTCATCATAGGCCAAAGTTTAATCACAAGGCAACATACCAAGCAGAATAGTAGCTACCTAATGTACAATGCAATGACAACTTAATTAACTATCTACTTGTAATTGTACATATCTTAGATCAAGAACTGCACCAATAGAAATCAATGTATTAGACTATGACTAATACTTGTCATATTTCAACTTCATTTCATTAGCAAGCGCTTGCAGATGAGGATTATTTGAGATGCTTGAAGGTTTATCAAGTAGAACCTTCACCATGTAAAGCTCAGCCAAAAACAAATTAGCAGTAGGGTAAGAGGTGCCACTAATAATTGATGTAACATCAGCAAATACCTCCAAAGATAACACCTTCCATATCAGAAAAAGGAAATTCATGACCTAGAATCATATGGGCTGCAACCTCTCTAACCCTAGCATGATTATATGTCCAAGTTGTCAAACTATGAGTACTATCACCACCTACATTTAACCTAGATTGTGCAACCTCTTTGTCAGTATTACCTTTCAGCCTCAACTTTCTTTGAATGAAATTTTCTAAATGTTTCTTACTATTAGAAGTACTTTTCAATTTTACATCACAAGTGTAAAGCTTGCCACACTATCTGTATTTCCACTTCTTGGTACCATCATGCATTTTAATAAGTACCATTTCAGTATGAACAACAGATTTCTTGGGACGAGGAGCTTTACAATTTTGAGTAGTAGTTATATTTTGAGTAGTGTTGTCAGTTGGAAGTGGAACTGGAAGTTCCAAATCAATCATCTCACCAATCTCTATATTTCCTCCATCCATTGTCTCCTCTTTCCCAGTCCCATCAAGCAACATGTTAACATCAATAAGATCATCCATGGTTGGAGTCAATGAAGAATCTTGAAAAGACATGGCATAAAATTCAATATCAATCAAACAATAATGTAATGTGATACGAAATATGAACAAAACTGACTCACACAATACAACCTCTTTATTAAGAACAGAAGATAAACAATTATTATTAGGCCAAAATACAACCTCAGCAACACAAATTACACAATACAACCTCAATTCAAAACCCTAAGCCGAACCCTAATGAAGAACAAAACTCAGCAACAAAATTAAATACTCAAACATTTTTTTTTATCAAAACTCAAGCACTATAAATAACAAATCAAATACTCAAACATGCAAAATTGATAAAATCCCAACATTTTATGTCAAAATTGATACCAGGTAGAGAACTATTCAACAACTCAAACATGCAAACATTGTAAACAATATTATTAAAGAAATAAAAAAGAATAGAGTTTGGATACATTACACGATTGTTGTAGGCTTGAACAATTCACACTACACGTTTAACAGAAATGATTCAAACAGATAACACTCATGAAAGTAAACATTGTGGCTTGATTGAAAGGAAGACGAAGTCCGAGGGGAGAGAGACGAAACGGAAGAGGAAGAGTGTGAGAGATTAGAGAGACTGACTGAAAGGAGAGAGGAAAAAAAAAAGAGGAAATGAAATTTTTTTAAAATTTATTTCAAGGCTTATCAAGTATCCGTTGGATAATTGATCCGATTCTTCAGTCTAGATACGAATTAAAATTATATCCATTACTAGACCAAGAGACGTTTCGACCGATCTAATGGTCCGGTTCTAATAAACGGATTCTCGGGATGGTTTTTCGATGCCATAGATAAAAAAAAACAGCCCTAAATACAATACAAGGTATTGTTATTGCTAGCTAGGTTCCTTCCATTTAATTTATAAGTGGAGAATCTAACTTAATCAACTAAGAGAGACCAAGAAAAGGACTTGGTTTGTGTACCACAATTTTTTGTTCTCCCTTTTATCAAAACCCATAACGAATCAACAATCTTAAGGATTTGCATAGATTTTAGGAATAAGTTATGTTAAAGCTAGTTGAGTCTTTTCCCACAAGTTGCTTCAACATTTTCACGGTGGGTACAATATTATAGAAGAACATGCTTCAGTAGTGCCACATGCTAATCAAAAGAATATAGGTATATATATTCCAAATAACATTAACTCCAACTTGTGCTGATGCGCACACATATTATTCTTTAATTTGTACATGCATCATACACACATTCAATTTTCAATCCAATAATTGATAGAATCTCTATGCATAAGAGCCACCAAATATGGTTCATGATGCTTTGAGTTATGATATTTTATTCATAAATTGTACAAAGTGTTGCTAGATCTACTCTCTTAACCTATCAATAATTAGGTCTCTGACCTGGCTTTATTTGTTCAGATTTTGTGTTTCTTACTATTTGATTAAGACATGTTCATGCACATCCTCTCTAATTCATGTGCATTTGACCATTACTTTAGCAAAATAATATTTTATGAAAAAAATTTAATTAAATTTTCTACATAATTTTTTTCATACCAACCATGCTTGTTAATTAAATTTATGATACAAATATATAGTTGGATATTTATTTTTTGAAGGACGTGACTTATTAAATATCTATGACTAGTTGGATCATATGAGGTAGTACAATATAATGAGATTGTAGAATAAAAAGCATTCATAACCATTTCCTCCTCAAAAATAAAAAAGAGCCACGTATGACTTAGACATTCAACCAAAATGGACCAAATAATTTATGGTGAAAGTGATGATATAGCTATTGTACAATTTCTTAATTAATTTAGTTGGAAAAATAGAGCAAAACATAAATAATTGAATTTTTCTAAAATTTATTCCATGATAAAAATATTATTATAACAAGATATTGACCATATTCGTAATAATTTACTATTTAAAATTTACTTAATTAACTTATTTATCAACCGGAAACTCTCGTTTCGTCTAATAATATTTATATTTGTTGGTTTATTTAAATTTTATTAATTAATTAAACTTATTTTAGAGAGTAGAGAGGAAAGATGTATAGTGATTAAATTAATATATTCTATTTGGTGTTGATAAGACTTGTTAACTTAAAAATAATAATTGGATTAGTTACACAAAACACAACTCACTCCACCTAGTGCACCTTTACTTCACATTTCCACCTCACTCCAAATTCAATGCAAGTTAACTCAATCTTTTTACTAATTAATCTAAAAGTTCTTAGCTATTACTCCTCCTCCCTTTTTTATAAAAATTACTTATTTTTTTTATTCATTAAATAATTAATATATTTGGTCTTTAATATAGACCAAATACATTAATCATTTAATAAATTTAAAAATATAAAATATTTTTTATAAAAATAATTTATAAATAAATAAGTTTCTTTTACTTTCACTTGATTTGATGCCATAACTATTAATTATTCTCTAATCTCACCTTTTAATAAATAAAAAAAAAAATCATATTGGAACTAGTTGACCAAGTTAGCATGATGCTGTCTCAAACTGGAGTGGTTCTTTTGAAGAATCTCTCCCTTTTCTGAGCACAGCAGGTTCACCTGATCACTTAATTTCTTCATTTATATACCAATTTTGTCATATCATTTTCTAAAAACATGAATTTTCTTCCCTATTTTTAGCAAAAAAAAACATCATTATTCCTGCCAAAACCCAAAACACTGAACTTGAGAAAAACATGTTTTTTTTTCTTTTTTCTTTTTCTGTTATGATGTTGAAACTGTTTAGCCTTTAGTACAAAATGAAAACCCTTTTCTCAAAGGTTAAAACTTTTCACAACCCATGTTAATGTTGATTCAAAGTTCGACAATTTAGCATAAAGGGTTGATAGAAAAGTGGTTGAATTGATCAAAAAATAAAAAAAAATGCGTAGTTTGAAGATTGCTGAACGTTTCAAGAGCATTCAAGTTCATGCTCTTAGTTCTTCATCTGAAAACAATGGTGGCAGCAAAACCAAACCTCACAACTTTAGCAGACACAAAACAATATTGTCGTGGTCAAAATCGAAATTCAGCAACAATAACAAAACCTCGGAGTTTGCAAATCTTGTTTCTCTTCAGTTACCTTCTATTGACACCATTGAACCAACCATAGAACCTTATCTTAAACCTGTAAACCTTGTAGAGACTTTAGCAGAACTCTATCAACGTATAGAGTTTTGCTCGTCACAGTCTGAGAAAGTTTCACTTTTTGTGGAGCTTTTTTCTGTTTTGTATGGTCTTGGAGATCAGAAGCTACTCAGAAGGTGTCTCAGAACGGCGCGGCAGAACGCCGAGGATGTGATGTCAAAGGTTGTGCTTTCTGCTTGGTTAAGGTATGAGAGAAGGGACGATGAGCTTGTTGGTGTTTCTTCAATGGATTGTGGTGGTTGTAGTGTTCTTGAATGTCCAAAGAAGAATTTGGAGAAAGGGTTTAGTCCTTTTTCAATCAATGATCATTGTCAGTGTAATGAAGAGAGAAAAAATGAAACTTGGAATAATGATGAGTGTCTGTGTTTATCTGATGAGGAAAGTGATGTTTTGTTTTGTGTTGGGAATGAAGAAATCAAGTGTGTTAGGTGGAGAATTGCTTCACTTTCAGAACCATTTAACGCAATGCTTTGCGGTGGATTTCTAGAATCGAAAATGCGGAAGATTGATTTCACAAGAAATGGGCTATGCTCAGAAGGTATGAAAGCACTAGAATTTTACAGCAGAACAAAAAGGTTGGATCTTTTCTGTGCTAAGACTGTTTTAGAGCTTCTATCATTTGCCAATAGGTTTTGTTGCGACGAAATGAAATCGTCTTGCGATTCTCATTTGGCTTCAATTGTTGAAAATGTTGAAGATGCATTGATACTCATTGAGTATGGTTTGGAAGAAAAAGCAACTCTTCTTGTTGTTTCTTGCTTACAAATTTTCCTCAGGGAGCTTCCGAATTCTCTTCGTAATTCAAAGGTGATGAATTTTTTATGTAGTTTTGAATCAAAGGAAAAGTTGGAGAATTTAGGGTGTGCTACTTTTTTGTTGTACTATTTTCTTAGTCATGTGGCAATGGAAGAAAACATGGTATCGAGAACGACATCGATGTTGCTGGAGAGAATGAAAGAGTGTGGTGCGGAGAGATGGCAGAAGGGTCTTGCATTTCATCAATTAGGGTGTGTGTTTCTTGAAAGAAGAGAGTATAAAGAAGCTCAACGTTGTTTCGATGAAGCAGTTGAATTAGGCCATGTTTATTCTATAGCCGGCGTGGCGAGAACAAAGCATAAACAAGGTCAACCGTATTCGGCTTATAAGTTAATCAGTTCTTTGATATTTGAGTATAAACCAGTTGGATGGATGTATCAAGAGAGAGCATTGTACAATATGGGAAGAGAAAAAGGTTTTGATTTGGATTTCGCAACAAAACTCGATCCTTCACTATCATTTCCGTATAAATATAGAGCATTGGAGAAAGTTGAAGAGAAGCAAATAAAAGAAGGGATTATGGAACTTGATAAGTTTCTTGGATTTAAGCTTTCACCTGATTGTTTAGAATTGAGGGGTTGGTTGTATATTGCATTAGAGGATTATGATAGCGCTATGAGAGATATTAGAGCATTGTTAACCATAGAGGCTAATTATATAACTTTACATGGGAGGATTAGAGGAGAATGCTTGGTTCAAATTCTTAAAAGTCGAATTCAGAAGAAGAATCAGGCTGATTGTTGGATGCAATTGTATCAACAATGGTCTTCAGTTGATGATGTTGGTTCTTTGGCTATTATTCATCAGATGCTAGAGAATGAGCCCGGAAAGAGTTTGCTCGAGTTTCGTCTTTCTCTACTACTCTTGAGGTAACCATATTTAGAACTAACTCGAACATAGTATTGCTTTTCCTTAACATTTTAATTTTTGACCTATATGTAGCACTGACACTTTAGATCAAGAACGTGTCTGGTGTCTGACATGTGTTAGTGTATGACACTTTAGATCGAGGACGTGTCTGGTGTCTGACACGTGTTAGTGTCTGACACTGACACGATACTGACACATGTTATTAATTCAATTACTTTCTTTTCTTTTCTTTTAAATTATTACAACTGTCTACGTGTGCGTATTGTGTATCCGTCTGGTGTCTGTTTCGCTGCTTCATTGATTTTGACTCTATGCAAACACAAACATGTTGGTGAAAATTTTATTTAGTTGCTAAACATACTCTTATGCTGCACAGGTTAAACTGTCAAAAGGCTGCAATGCGCAGTTTGCGGCTGGCAAGAAACCATTCTAGCTCAGTGCAGGAAAGACTAATTTATGAAGGATGGATTCTATACGATACTGGCTATCGTGACGAAGCTGTTACACGGGCTGACAGATCCATTGAAATTCAGAAATCATTTGAAGCCTTTTTCCTAAAAGCATATGTGCTAGCAGATACAAATCTGGATCCCGAATCTTCTTGTTATGTTATTCAGCTTCTTAAAGAAGCACTTAAATGTCCTTCGGACGGACTTCGCAAAGGACAAGTTAGTAACATATCTCAAACTAACACTATTGCAAATGTAGTCTTGTTGTGCAGTTTTTTTATTGTATTGTTGAATATTTTGCAGGCACTGAATAACATGGGGAGTATTTATGTGGATTGTGGTAAAATAGAACTCGCAAACGAGTGCTACAACAATGCCCTTGCGATTCGGCACACACGAGCTCATCAAGGTCTGGCGCGCGTTTATCAACAGAAAAATCAACGGAAGGCTGCATACGATGAGATGACAATGCTAATCGAGAAGGCGGAGAGCACTGCCTCGGCGTATGAGAAACGGTCGGAATATTGTGACCGTGAGATGGCGATGGCTGATCTTGATGTTGCAACACACCTTGATCCTTTAAGGACATACCCTTACAGATACAGGGCAGCAGGTACTTTTATTTTCCGATCATTCTCGTATCTTACAAACATACTATAAGTTATTTCCCATTACAACTTATGCCAACAGATAAGTTCAAATAAGTCAATCTAAATAGTCTCTCAGATAATGATGTGATTTCTTCGAGTCGCGCATTATATGTGAACTCACAACCAATTATTATACTAACATGAATTATGACCTATATCTCTAGTGCTGATGGATGAGCAAAAAGAAACAGAAGCTGTAGAAGAACTCACCAAGGCTATAAAATTCAAGCCTGACCTTCAAATGCTTCATCTGCGAGCCGCGTTTTACGAGTCAATGGGAGATCTATCGTCTGCTCTTACAGATTGTAAGGCAGCACTTTGTTTAGATCCAAACCATGCAGCAACAGTTGAGTTATATCAAAGGATACAAAAGCTTAACTTTTAATCTTAAAACAATTGAGTTATATCAATTGATTATTCCCAAGTGACTAAGTTTTTCCTTAGATATTTCACAACTACTATCTAAGAACAAAACTAGAATGGGATGCATGAAGTCCATGAATTGTGGAAACAAAACTCAAGAAGCTATACATTGGATGAATCAAAACAAAGATGGATAATAGATATTTACTTGTGTATTATTCATATGTAAATGAGAATATTTTCACAATAGTAAATAGTACATTGATATGATGTGGATTCTTGTGAACCATATTCACAGAACTTGTTTCCCACTGTTTACACACTCTCTTGTACAGTTACATTACAAGGTTATAAAGAGACTCATTCCTCTGGTTTCCTACAATACAATCAAATCGCAGCCAAACGTAAGCGTGACTTTAGAAGTAACTATGATTAAAGTGAACCGATTTTCACAATCTAACTATTACGATTAATTGACAGTGAAATTATTTTACACCGGTAACATATATGAACTAAACCTTGATTTAATGTCTCAACATAAGTCTGAGGTCAAGATTTCAATTTCGGCCCACCAAAGAGGGGATGATTTCGGCGTCGCTCCGTCGGGCTCCATAGAAGTGATTTCCTTCAACTTGCACGTAACCTCTTTCATCGATGGCCTTTTGTCTGGATCAGGATCTACGCAATTGTTAATCACTTCTGACCATTTCTCAATTTCATCATCATTCAAAAATTTCATGTTTGTATCCACCAACTCTCGCAAAGGTTGTCCTCTTATATATTCTGCAGCCCAATCTGTTGCAAAGCCGTTTTCTACTGCATATGGAATTTTTCCTGTTATCAGTTCGAACAATATTACGCCAAAACTATAAACATTGTCCTTTATTTCTTCCACTGATGTTTTCTCAGAACTCTTCTTTGCATCAACCTCGTCGGTGCAGAAACTAAGGTCTGATATTTTAGCAGCATAGTCTTCTGTTAGATATATAGAGGAAGATAACAAGTTTTTGTGCGCAATTGGTGGTGTGAGTTGATGTATGTGGTCTAGACAGTATGATATTCCCATCGCTATCCGCGTTCTCATTCTCCAGTCGAGGTGCTCCGCTTCTCTAACTGCAACAAATACGTAAACGACGTCAACACAATTTAGATTCAAGACGTGTTTGTTCAGGGTCTGACACACGTAGTTATATTCAATTGTTCTATTTTCTCTAATTATTATCGGTGTCAGAGTAGTGCTTGGTGTTCATGCATGCGATCAAAGTGAATTTAGAAGGAAAAAGGACTTACTATGTAGATGCTCAAACAATGTTCCATTCGGAGCGTATTCAAAAACCATAATCCTTGTGAATGGTTTATTCTCTTCGCAATAGCCAATAAGATTCACGAAATTCTTGTGGTTCACTCTCGATAACGTCTCAATCTAGAAGGCAAAAAGTAAAACCGACGCAAAAGAATTAAAACCAGATCAGAAAATGTGTGTTGCAGTAGCTACATTTGTTGTCTGCATTAGCATACCTTCTTTCTGAACTGAGTTTGCAAATTTTTAGACCATTTTTCGGAAGAAGCCACTGCAGAAGATACTACAGCTATCTCAACTCCACTCGAAAGCGTTCCCTTATAGATAGTCTCGTCTTCAAGTGAACCAATAATGTTGCTGAAATCTTCACAAGCTACAACGAGTTCGGCTCGTTTAAGACTCGGAATACCTGAATCAGAAGTGTTTATGTCAATCTGAATAATAGTCCGTTAAAACTTCTCGAATATAAGAAATTACCTGTTATGAAAGCTTTTCGAAGCTGGCCACTCAACCCTGTGGTCCAAGGTTTGACAGTTACAACCTTACTACTTCTGAAGCAAATGAAAACAGTGAATGAAACCAAAACAAGGAAGGAAAATCCTCCAAGTGTTGACCATATAATGACAGAATGTTGCTTTCGGTTTGAGCTGTTCGGATTTCTTTGGTTAGAAGATGAAGAAGGAGAAGGTGCTGAAATCCAACTAGAAAGCCGTGGCGTGGACATAACTATAGGTGGATTTGATGTTGTAAATGGTAAGTATGAAGCTGTTGGTGCTGCCTCAGGTGAAGGTGAAGGGGAATGTTCTGATGATGGTGAAGTTGAGGGAGTTTCTGATATGGAAAGTAGTGAAGATGATGGTGAAATTTGTGTAGAAAGTGGTGATGGTGATGAAGGTGATGATGATGGTGAATGAGTGTTTTTGTGATCATCAATGTTGGTTTTGTGTGAGTTAGCAGAATTTGATGTTTGTGTAAGTTTTCTACTGTATGGTATATCCCTTTGTTGGCCAATGTGTCTGTCACAAGGATGGTGATTCAAATCAATATTACATTTTTAAGTTAAAAAAAAAGTGATATTTGCATAAATATAAGCTAATATATCATATAAAAATCTCAAAATAATTAAGATTCATGTTATAAAGAAAAAATGACAAAAAGAAAAATGGTGTGTTACATAAAGTCTTATCGATAAATTCAAAAACGAGAACACTCAAAAGTAAGTGTTATTTGATTCAATCGATGAGCGAGAAGATTTTTTAAATCTAAAATATGGAGATGAGAGAAAGGAAGAAGAAATATTTTTATTAGATAATATTATTGAAATTGTAATTCTTTGTGTCGAAACAGTATAACTCGACATAAATAAAGATTAGTTGAAATTAGCCTAAGGTGTGTGTGTTGAGTTGTTTAGATGTCGAAGTGTAGAAACAGATTGTCTGACACATAATTTTGAACTTTTGTAATTTTGGGTTTTCTTCTATTATAAATAGAGGGAGTAACCTCTATTTTGTAATAACTTGTACTCACAGATTTTTTTGTAGTTACAAAGTGAATAAAATAAGTTTTTCATAGTTTGTGAGCGGAGATTCGTAGTTAAAAATCATTCTCTTCTTCCTTTAATTTTGTCAAACACTTTCGTTTTTTTCCTTCTTGTTTTCCATTAACAGTTGTTGCGCATAATCTTTCTTGAAATCAAGAATGATTAGGAATTCTCAAAATTTGGTATCAAAGCTCCAGTTGTGATTCGAGGGAAGAAAATTACGATGGCGCTGAATCATCCAAACGAGAATTTTTCGGCGAACCTTCAAATTCTCAAGAACAATAATTATGAGAATTGGTGCAAGCAGATAAAGACGGTTTTCTGTTATCAAAATCTTTGGCATCTTGTGAAGGGAGGAGTAGCACCGCTTGCAGAAAACGCGACAGATCAAGAAAATGCTGCATACAAAGAATTGAAGAAGAAAGATTATAAAGCTCTCTTATATTCCATCAATATGTTGATCCAGATAACTTTGAAAAGGTTAGTGATGTAGAATCAGCGAAAGAAGTATGAGAAATATTAGAGAAATCGTTTGAGGCGCAGAGAAGGTGAAAGAGGTGAGGTTACAAACTCACAAAAGGATGTATGAATTGCTTTAGATGGAAGAAAGTGATAGCATAACTGATTTATTCACTAGAGTTACTAAATTGGTGAATCAAATTAAGGCATGTGGAGAAATGCTGACATCAAGATCATTTGTTACAAAGATCTTGAGCTCATTGGCTCCAAAGTTCGACCACGTGGTAGTATCCATAGAAGAGTCGAAAGACTTGTCAGTATTGACGAAGGAAGAGCTTCAAGGGACGCTTGAGTCTCGTGAACAAAGGATGACTGAAAGAGATGCAAGAAATTCGAAGAGTGATATGGCTTTGCAGGCGCAGTCAGAAAAAGAAAAGAAAGACAAAGGAAGTTGGAATGACAACAAAGGCAGAATAAGCTACAATAATTCGACTGGTCAAAACCAGTAGGAAGGAAAATGGTCGAATCAGAGAAAACCCTGGAACCAAGGCAACCAAAGACGTGGTGCTGCAGGTAGAGGAAGAGGTGGTGGTCGAAAACCTGACAAAAGTCACATTCAGTGTTACAATTGTCAAAAGTACGATCACTATTTTAGTGATTGTTCAGAAAAGAAGAAGAATCAAGAAACTGATGCAAAGCTGGCGAAACCTGAAGAAAAATAGATGTTGCTGATGGTCACAACAAAAGATGAAGAAAGATTCTAGGACCAATGGTACTTGGACTCAGAATGCTCATCACACATGACTGAAAGGAAAGATTGGTTTGTCAACATAAAGCCCTCAATGAAGAACACTGTGAAATTTGTAAATGACAATACTCTAGCAGCTGAAGATATTGGTGATGTTTTGATTATGAGGAAAGATGACAAGAGGTCAGTAATTTCCAATGCATTGTACATAACAGGCATGAAGAGTAATTTGCTCAACATAGGGCAGTTGGTCGAAAAGAACTACAAGGTTTCGATCGAAGTCAATATGATGAGAGTTATCAAATCAGGAGAAAGGTTAATCTTGAAGGCTCCTATGTCTCAAAATAGAACCTTCAAGATTGAGCTTAATGTGACGGAGCATAAGTGCCTTACAACTGCAGCTAACAGAGATGAATGAATATGACATTATCGACTTGACCATTTCAACTTCAAAGACATTAAACATTTGAAGAGAAGAAATATGGTTTCAGGATTATTAGAAATTGACATTCCAAGCGAAATGTGTGAAGAATGTATTCAAGCGAAACAACACAAGAATAGCTCCAGCAAGGATGCAGGAAGCAAGTCGAAAGCAATTCTTGAAGTCATATACTCTGATGTATGTGGTCTTATCCAAGTGGATTCGATTGGAGGAAACAGATACTTTGTCACGTTCATAGATGATTTAAGTCAAAAACCATTGGCTTACCTGATTTAGAAGAAAAATGAAGTGATCGAGATATTTGCCAAATTTAAATCTACGGTCGAAAGACAAACTGGTCGAAAGCTAAAGATTCTGAGGACCGATGGTGGTGGAGAGTATGTGTCTAAAGATTTTGATGCATTATGTGAGAAAGAATGGATTGTGCATGAGCTGGTGCCACCCTACATTCCACAGCAGAATGGAACTGCATAAAAGAAGAATATAACCATCATTAACATGGTGAGAAGTATATTGAAAGGCAAGCATATATCCAAAGAATTACGGGGAGAAGCTGTGTCAACAACAACATATATCTTGAATAGTGTCCGACGAAGAAACTAGAAGGAATCACGTCAGAAGAATGTTGGTATGATGTCAAGCCTAGCCTAAGTCATTTGAAGGTGTTTGAATCTATAACACATAGACATGTACCATATCAGTTGAGAAGAAAACTTGATGACAAGTCGAGTTAAATGATCCTAATAGGATATCATTCGACTGAAGGATACAAGTTGTTCGACCCAGTGAACAAGCAAGTAGTGATCAGCAGAGACGTGATCATAGATGAGCTTAAGGAATGAGATTGGATTGAGAATGTTAAGAAGGATTCAATGAGAATCTTATGTGAAGAACCAGCTAGTGAAGTTGAAAGAAAAGTTCGACAAGAAGAAGTCCGAGGTGAAGCAGACCCAAGCAGACCTCAACGAACAAGACATATGCCTCCAAGGTTGCAAGAATGTGTGGTTAGATAAGAGAATATGGTCAATGAAGAAGGTGAGCTGATACACTATGCTTTCTATGCATATCTCGAAAAAGTCAATGCAGTTGAGGTATTGAAAGATTCAAAGTAGGTGAAAGCAATGAATGAGGAGTTAGAGTCCATCGAAGTCAACAACACTTAGTTACTTGTTGAATTGCCTCAAGGCAAGAAGGAAATTGATGTGAAATGGATTTACAAGGTGAAGGTGAATCTTAAAGGAGAAGTAACTCGACACAAGGCGAGACTTGTGGCGAAAGAATTTCTTCAGAAAGAAGGAATCGACTTCGATGAAATTTTTGCACCTGTTGCTAGGATCGAAACAATTAGGTTGGTTGTTAGTCTAGCAAACATGAAAATTGGCACACATGTCATATGGATGTGAAATGTACATTCTTGAATGGCCCCTTAGATGAATAAGTTTGTGTTGCACAACCAGTTGGATTTGTGGAACAAGGCGAAGAAAGAAAGGTGTACAGGCTGCATAAAGCCCTGTATGGACTTAAGCAAGCTCCAAGAGCTTGGAATAAGAAGATAGATATCTTTCTAAGGGAGAAGAAATTTTTGAAGTGCACGACCGAGAATGTAGTATATGTAAAGAGAAGAAATAGTGAATTACTTATACTATGTCTCTATGTCGATGACTTGTTGATAACAAGAAGTTGCAAGAATGAGATCGAAGATTTCAAACATGACCTAAGTGAGGAGTTTGAAATATCATACTTGGGAAATCTCTGATATTTCCTTGGTATCGAATTCTACAAAAGTGGTAGAGGTTTGATGATGCACCAAAGAAGATATGTAAGCAAAATACTCAAGAGATTTGAGATGCAAGATTGCAACCCAACTTCGAATCCAGCTGAGCCTAGATTGCAATTGTCGAAAGATTCAGATTCAGATGATGTCAACCCAACCCAATATAGAAGACTTATTGGGTCACTTCGGTACCTTTGTCACACAATGCCTGACTTAGCATACAGTATGGGTATGGTAAGTAGATTCATGCAAAATTCAAAGGTATCACACCTAGCAGCGACGAAGAGGATACTAAGGTATCTGAAAGGTACTATTGACTATGACATTTTGTTTCCTGCAGTTGATGAAGGAAAATAATGCAAGTTAGTGGGATACACCGACTCAAATTGGTGTAGTGATGTTGAGGATAGAAAATCTGCAGCCGACTATGTGTTTATGTTAGGTGGTGCACCAGCTGGTTGGAGTTCGAGAAAGGAGCCAGTAGTGGCATTGTCGTCATGCGAAGCAGAATACATAGTTGCTTCTCTTTATGCATGTCAAGCAAAATGGATGGTCAATCTGGTCGAAGAGATTACAACGAAGAGTCATGGAGTAATTACCATGAATATCGACAACATGTCAGCTATCAACCTGGTGAAGAATCCAATAGCACATGGACGAAGCAAGCACATCGAAATGAGGTTCCATTATCTTCGAAAGGAGGTGACACAAGGGAAGATGAATTTGGAACACTGTAGAATTGAGAATCAGATTCCAGATATCATGACGAAAGGAGTGCAAGTCAAAGTGTTCAATAAGGTAAGTTCTATGATGAATGTAAATAACTTAGTCACAATGAATTAAGTGGTGTGTTGAAATTGTAATTTCTTGTTTCGAAACAGTGTAGCTCGACAGAAACAAAGACTAGTCGAAATTAGCCTAAGGTGTGTGTGTGCGTGTGTCGAGTTGTTTAGATGTCGAAATGTCGAATCAGGTTGCTTAACACAAAATTTCGTCTTAGACCAAAATTAGTAATTTTGGGCTTTCTTCTATTATAAATAGAGAGAGTAACCCCTAATTTGTAATAACTTGTATTCATATTTTTCTTTTGCAGTTGCAAAGTGAATAAAAGAAGTTTTTCATAGTTTGTGGGCGGAGATTCCACAGTTGAAAATCATTTTCTTGTTCCTTTAATTTTGTCAAACTCTTTCTTTCTTTTTTCTCGTTTTTTCATTAATAGTTGTTACGCATAATCTTTTTTAAAATCAAGATTGATTAGGAATTCTCAAAAAAGTTTGAATTAATTCCAACAAATATTTAGTTCAAAATATAAAAGGAGATGAAAGGGGAGGAATTTCAATTCCATTGAGTTTAGTTCAGAAAGGAAGAGTCGGGGTCTCATAACTAATTATTTTTTTATTTGTAATTTGGTTAAGAGAGCATCTTAAAATATTTTATAAAAATGTAACAATAATTTTTCAAATGATTATCTAATATAAAATAAAACTTAAATTAAATCAAAATTAAAAATAACTCTTATAAAAAAATTAAGATTAATTTATTTAATATAATAAATTATATTTTAGCATCCTCTCTCTCCTAAAAAAACTAATTTAAAAGAAAACAAATATCACTCCGATGAATTTTGATCCTTTCCTATTTCAATCTCTACTAAAGTATTGAATCAAACCGTCTTAATTTTAAATATTTTCTCTCATTCCCTTTAAAAATCTCTAACCACTCAGACTTAAAAAAAATTTAATTAATTTTTATACCTAATATTGTAATGAAACTTTTTTTTTAATATCACTAATAAATAATAAAATAAAATAATTAAAAAATAAAAAAATCAACTAAATAATAATTAAATAATAATTTTTATAATTTTTTACTCTATTTATAACTATGCAGATAAGTTTCATGCATCAAAAGTAAATTTAATATAAATTAAATAAAAATAATTTGAAAAAGTAAATCAATATTTATTTTAAGATATTACTTTTTTTAAAGTGATACTACATTCTTAAATATTTTTTCCTTCTTTTGTTTAATAATTTAATGGTCATATTCTTCCCATCTCATCTCATCTAAGTATTATTTGATCGATCCTCATTTTATTTTAATAGTATAACTCATATAGAATTCTACAAAATAAATCAATATATTAATATATTTTTTTATATTTAATTTATAATGGTTGCCCCAACGCTGCAAGTTAATTAATTAATCATTTTATATATCAACGAAAAATACACCGCAAGTTTGTGTTGTGAATTTTGAATTGTATAGTTAGCATTCCACCATGCAGCATGATATTGGTATCACAGACATGAAGCATGCCATATGGTATACTTTTTCTTTTGATGTTAGACTTTTTATTTAATGATTCAAGATTAGATTTTTAAATAAAAAATTAGACAAAAATTATATATAGTCAATAAATTATTATAAATTTAAAAAATATTTAAGTTAAAATTTTTTTTATATCAAATATAATTAAAAATATTATATATAGTGGCTGACAATTAAACTAAAAATAATATATATTTTTTTAAAATAGTATACTTTTAGGGTTTCGGAAAATGATTAAATTTTTTAGTATTTGTAACTAAAATAAAATAATTTTTTCTTTATTTCCTGTCACTTAAATTTAGCTTTTAAATTCTTAAAATATATATTTAAAAACTAAAATTAATTTAAAAAAATAGAATAATATACAATTTCCCCTGGTCAACCATTTTTGCAGTTGTTTAATATCAAAATTTCATTGGCACACACTATCTTTTACTCAAAGATACCACTTTATTTCTTTAGGAATCTTTATCCAAACCTATATCGTGTAGAGCACTTAGGAACTGGTAACAAACTATTACGTTCTACCAAATCATAATCTCTTGAACAAACATGAATCAAAGAGAAAATTAAGCAAAACTAGGAGATAAAAAAGGAAAAAATGAAGAAGAAAGTGTTACTTACAAGTCCACAATATTTCCATTAGAGCAATATTCAACTCCAAACCAAAAGCATGTATCAATCACTCTTTTACCTTGGCTATTCAGATTCAAAGGGATAGACACCACCACCATAATTACTACCACCATGCAGCAGAATGCTATGAATCTCCAAGCTTCTCTCATTGTGAGATCAAAGATTTACTTCTAAAACATAGTCGATGGATATGTCATTCATATAATATAAGAAATCAAATGGAATTGTAGAGGAAATGGTGTGTGTAATACAAAGTAAGATAAAATCTGATGAAATTAAAATATACTTTTAAGAAAAATAACTTGAGTTTGCATTTGGCTTTTTCAGCGTTTCATAGTATTGAATTGAAGTCACCAACTCATCTATGTCTTTATATATTCTCATGACTCATAGCCTCTCACAAAGGCACGTGCTAAGCATGCCTTATATCACTTTTTTTTAAAGCTTTTTGAAAAAAAATTGAATACATTTGATACTTAAGCTTTTAGCAAGTTTAATAACGATATTGTACCCATACTCAACTTACCCTATATATATATATAATTTTTTTTTATGTCTATGCATGTGTGCTGACTTTTTTTAAACTCGGCAATAATCAAAATTCATCTTTTTTTAAGTCTCTAGTGAATGAAAAAGGGATAAAGAGTTTCGTGGAACATGTGTGATGTCAGTGACATTGTTGTGGGGATTGTGTTAGGATAAAGGAGGAAAAAAATATTGCATGTGATCTATTATGCTAGTCATGTCTTTAACCCTACTCAAATGAATTATGCAAATACCGAAAAAGAGTTATTGGCTATTGGATACTCCTCCTTCAAGAGTTTGATCTCGAGATCCGGGGTAAAAAGGGGTGTGAAAATACAGTTGTTGATTATTTGTCCCGCATGTCTCTGTCACAACTGCGAAAAACACCCGGCGGAAAAACAGAAGAGTCGCTACCGTTCATTATTTATTCCAAAGAGAGGGAAAGAAAACGATCGAAGAAGACCTGGCGAAAAGGGAAAAGACAAGGTCATCGCAACCAAATCTTGGGTTCGGGAGTCGGTTACGCAAGAGGAAGGTATTAGCACCCCTTACGTCCGTTGTACTTAACGGGATCCACGCTTGTTGTCTAATCAAAGGGTCACTATGCCAAAAAAGACCTTTAGCAGCGCTTTTTTTGGCCTTTAGCAGCGCTTTAAAGCGCAGCCAAAAGTGGCGCTGCTAAAGGTAAAGGCAGCGCTTTTTTTCAATGAAAAAGCGCTGCTAAAAGCTCCCTTCAGCAGCACCTTTAGCAGCGCTTTTTTAGCCCTTTAGCAGCGCTTTTGTAAGCGCTGCATAATTCCCCCAACCATCCCCCCCTTTAGCAGCGCTTTCAAAAAGCGCTGTCTTATACTCCCCCTTTAGCAGCGCTTTTGCAAAGCGCTGTTATAGCCCACCCTTTAGCAGCGCTTTGTACAAGCGCTGCCTTAGACCCCCCCTTCCAAACCAATAGCAGCGCTTTTGTAGCGTAATATTTGTGACCTTTAGCATCGCTTTTATGTAAAAGCGCTGTCTAATGTCCCAGATTTTAAAAAAATTTTTTATAAAAATATTCACCCTGTTTTGTATATTTTACCAACAACCTGCTTATATTACACAAACCTGCTTATAATTCAGGCCTTTATTTCAACACTTTGGCCTTATAAATAAAATTCAAACTTTGGCCTTAAATATACAATTCAAACTTTGGCCTTATATGTACAATTCAAAACTTTGGATACATTGTAACTCATGACTTTGTTCATAAACATTTTAATATACACATAAACCTGTTTAAATATGTTACAACAAAATTCGATCCTCAGAATTACAACAACACAAATACATTCAATTCACATATAATTACAAGTCTTCCAATCCGATAACTCTATACAATTTTCAACCCAAGAATAAATTGACACCATTCCTCTTTAATTTCTTCCAATTTTGCTTTCGTGTAAGTAGTGCACTTGAATTCATCATAATACTACATAATATAACAGATCGAATAAGATTTAAGTTTAAAACTAATTACTCAGATGAAGTATCGGATAATTATCAAAATGAATCATATAACTTATATAATGAATTGATCCATACCAGGACTGGGATCTCAAGTTGACTAGAAAGAATAATTTCTCCCATAAAGCGCAATACAAAATATCCACAGTCAATACCATTGCGCTGCCGAGGACACTGTAAATGGAAAAAACAAACGAACATTTATCCGGATATATAGTTTAAATAGTTTTATCAAGTAGAAACATGCGAGAATATACCTCCACTCTGATCCAGTTGATGTTGTTAGCCTTACTTTTTGGCACCGTTGCATCTCTTTGTGCTCTGAATATTTGTATAACTCTAACATAATATAAACGCATATTTAGAACAATGTCACATAATAAATAAAGATATATAATTAAAGACAACAGTATATGTCATCACTTACGTATCAACAAAGTTCCTCAGATTTTCATATTTTGTTGTATCGCCATCCAATGAATCTATGTAATACACTATTTCTTTCGTCGGACCAATAACTTGTCATACAAGAACCTAAAAAAACATAATCAACATTAGAATATTAAGTTAAACGAGCAAATTTTAAAATGTTCAATTATTTAATTAAAAAGGATCGAAGTACCTGATGTATGAATGCATAACACCGACGCCCAGTTCAGAATGGTTGATCCTTTAACATCTCTTTCTTTTTTTCGTTGTAATGGGGTTTACTTGTCTCTTAACAACACGGACATATGGATTGATCCAAATTCCCTCGTTATGATCATTTCTAATATATGATTCGTCTACTCTAATATTCTCATCTGGATCATCTATAATATAAGATTCATTCTCAACATAAACATCCCCCTTTTCTCCAATGTTATCATCGATTACTTTGTTGGAAAAAAGAACTATAGACCATTTCGTACTTGTCGGATCAGTGACATAGAACACTTGTTTAGCTTGCGTGGCTAGAATAAAAGGCTCATCTTTGTACCCCACCTTATTAAGATCCACTTTCAAAAAACCTGATTTATCCATTTGTATGCCACTTTTATTTTCAACCCACTTGCATCCAAAGATAGGAATCTGAAACTTCTCATAATCAAACACCCAAATGCGCTCGATAACCCCATAATACGAGGAGATGTGTATTGCTTCGGCAAGCACGGTGACACCACTATTTTGCATTGTACTTTTATCATCTTGTTCCTTGGTATAAAATGTGTATCCATTAATTGCGTATGCGCTATAAGAAAACACATGCAAACTTGGACCATATGCTAAACATCTCAACCTTTCTGTTATTGAAGCGGGATCAGAATAAAACTTTGAAAAAATATGCTCCTTGAACCATGTTATAAAACTTCGATTGTGCTCACGTACTATCCAATTTTCATTTCTATTCAGATTTAAACCTCGGAGAACGTCCTTGTACATTTCAACATACGGCTCAACCTCAATGTCATTGTGCAGAACATACAAATGCACTTGCTCCCGTTCATCCCTTGAAACTGTCACAACTTTATTTCCAATTAACTGTTTACCATCTATTTTTTCAACAACATGAGATTTTGGGAGGCCAATGGATTGAACGTTGGACAAATATTCAATACAAAACTCATTAGCTTCTTCAACAATGTATCGTTCAACAATACATCCCTCTGGTCGACTTCGGTTTTTCACATACCCTTTCAATATTTTCATATAACGTTCAACAGGGTACATCCATCTCATATAGGCAGGTCCACACAGTTGTGTCTCTTTCAAGCTCGCACAAAGTAATAACTATTTCTCTTTGCAATGTTGGTAAGATCGCAGGATCTATCACCTTACTACAGATTGACCTAAAGAAAAAACATAATTTAGTTATTGCGCCTCTCACTTTTTCTGGAAAAATAGAACGTATACCTATTGGTAGAAAGTGTTCCATTATAACATGGCAGTCATGTGTCTTTAAACTTTTTAACTTGAGGTCTTTCATAGAAACAAGTCTTCTAATATCTGAAGAGTATCCTTCTGGAACTTTAACTTCACTCAGAAACTTACACAGTATCTTTTTCTCCTTTCTAGATAGAGTATAAGCAACAGGTGGTAGATATGTGCGGTTTCCTTTCTTCAAGGGTCCTAATTCATTCCTTATTCCCATTGCTACCAAGTCCTTTCTTGCTTTAAGGCCATCCTTAGACTTTCCTTGTATATTGAGTAACGTACCAATAACACTTTCAAATACATTTTTTTCAATATGCATAACATCAAGAAAATGTCTTACATACAACGACTTCCAATATGGCAACTCAAACAAAATTGACCTCTTCTTCCACCCACGCGTGACAAGCGTATGAGCAAAAGGCTTGCCAAACTTAGTACTCACATCTTTCACCTTTTCAAAAATTTGTTCGCCGGTCAATGTAGGTGGAGCTTTACGTTGTTCTGAATCTCCATTGAATGCTTTTCTCCACCCACGGTAGTGATGACTAGAATTTAAGAATCTACGATGACCAAGAAAGACATTCTTCTGACCAAATTCCAACCGCGTCCAATCTGTGTTTTCTTCACAGATAGGACACGCACATTGACCTTTAATGCTATACCCCGATAGATTTCCGTATGCTGGGAAATCATTAATTGTGCCAAACACCATCGCCCTCAAATTGAAACTTTCTTTCCTATATCCATCATAAACCTCCACATCGTTCTCCCACAAACTCTTTAAGTCTTCGATTAGAGGTGTCAGGTATACGTCTTTGTCATTCCCTGGTTGTTTAGGGCCAGAAATTAACATAGATAACATCATGTACTTACGCTTCATACATAGCCATGGAGGTAGGTTATAAATCATAATAATTACAGGCCAGGTAGAATGTGAGATACTTTGCAGACCATGCGGATTCATTCCATCAGTCGATAATGCCAAGCGAAGGTTTCTAGCTTCTTCTCCAAAATCAGGATAATCATTATCAATTTTCATCCACTGTGGTGAATCTGCCGGATGTCGATACTTCCCATCTACAATTCTATCATCTGCATGCCAAGTCAGATGTTTTGCATCTGTTTCACTATGAAACATGCGTCTGAATCTCGGAATTATAGGAAAATACCATAATACTTTTGCTGGTGACAATTTTTTCTTATACCGAGATAC